CCCTCACCAAGTCCCCTGTCACCCCTAAGCTCCCTGTCACCCCTCACCAAGTCCCCTGTCACCCCTAAGTCCCCTGTCACCCATCACTAAGTCCCTCACTAAGTCCCCTGTCACCCATCACCAAGTCCCCTGTCACCCCTCACCCCCAAGTCTTCTGTCACCCCTCACCAAGTCCTCACCCCCTAAGTCCCCTGTCACCCATCACTAAGTCCCCTGTCACCCCCTACCTAAGCCCCCTGTCACCCCTAAGTCCCTGTCACCCCTCACCAAGTCCCTCCTGTCACCCCCTGTCACCTGTCCCTGTCACCTCACCCCCTCACCAAGTCCCCTGTCGCCCCCTCACCAAGCCCACTGTCATCCTCTCACTAAGCCCGCTGTCACCCCCTCCCTCCTGACTCTGCCCTCTGTCACCCCCTCACTCTGCCCCCTGTGAGCCCCTCCCTCACTGACAACTGTCACCCCCTCACTGTGGCCCTCACTCTGCCACCTGTCACCCCCTTTACCCTAATTCTGACACCTGTCACCACCTCCTTCCCTCACTCTGTCCCCTGTCACCCCCACCTTCCCTCACTCTGTCCCCTGTCACCCCTACCTTCCCTTACTCTGTCGCCCCATCGCTAAGCCCCCTGTCACCCCCTCCTACCCTCACTCTGACCCCTGTCACCCTCTCCCTCTCTGACACTGCCACCTGTCAACCCCTCCCTCAGCCACCTGCCCACCCTTCACTCTGCCACCCCCTAACTCTGTCACCCCATCCCTCCCTCAGCGACCTGTCACCCCCTTTCACACTCTGTTAATCCCTTCCACAATCTGTCACCCCCTTCCACACTCTGTCACACCTCTCCACACTCTGTCAGCCCCCTCCACTCTCTTTCACGTCATTTCACACTCTGTCATCCCCTCCACTCTCACACACAGTCTCCCCTTTCGACACCCTGTCACCTCCCTCCACACACCCTGTCACCATTCCCCACACACACACTGTCACCACAGACAAAATGCACAAAGGCCACAGTCCATATACAAAAAATACCGCAAGCAGCTACACACACACATACGGTCCTAGACACAACATACACATGCTCACAGAAACATACATTCACATACAAGGGTACTCACTGTCAGACGCACTCTCAGGCACATACACAGACAGACAATGCCAGACACATTCAGAAATACACACAGCCAGATAAACACATTGTGACTGTATGTCTCTATTAGTCAATATGTGTGCATCAGTGTGTTTGTGTGTGTGTGTGTGTGTGTAAATGCATGTGCATGTATCAGTGTGTATATGTATTTGTGTATTAGTGTTTAAATGTGTGCGTGTGTCTGCAGTGTGGTTGTGGTATGATATGGGCAATGCAAAGATAAAGTTGCAAGCAACATATATATGCATGAATGCATACATACATATAAAATACATAGGGAAACACATATATGATAATATACATGTTAAGGAATTTAGAATATGTGGGGAAATGTCTGGTTATACAACCATACCCAGCAATCGTATACAAATGATTAGCAATTTATGTCATATCTACAGTAAAAGTGCTCACAACGCAGCGGCATAGGGAGCTGCAACAATTTTTTTCACTAATGGTGTAAATGGGGGGCCTCATGTTTGACTTTCGCCTAAGGCCTTGCAAAGTCTAGAGCCGCCTCTGAGTTTAATAATACCTTACATGCATAATATCATACAGAAATACAATAAACACAATGTAAATGAAATGGAAATTTAACTTCACTTTACCTGTCAGCTCTGTTTGCTGACAGAATGGAGCTCTGATCGCTGACAGAATGGAGCTCTGTTCACTTTGTCTAGTGCTAGGAGGCCAATGTGTCATATCACTGAGGTTAGAAAGCAGTACCAACAAAGTTAATGCTGTGTGATTTTGTTCTAATACCGAGTTTTGTTCGGGTACCAAGACAAATTTTATGTTTGATTACCGAATTGTTCGAATAAGGGAGCATTCCAGTTCTGAGGTTCCACTGTATATTATTGTGTTCATGAACTAGTATAGGGATACATACACGTACATTATACGTACATACCAACATTTCAAACTGACAGAGGGACACTTTCATTTTATGGGTTCAGTTGGTGGTGTGACCAGGGGTGGGGCTGTTCTGAGTATTTTTAGTTGACCTAGTAATAACAATTGTTTTTCTTTTTTTCTATCTTTCTTTCTTCTCCTCTTTAATCTTGAACACAAACACTACACTGCAGCACCAAAAGGGTCCATCGGAGCACCTCAACAAGAAAGAGACTGTCCCACAGGATTGCCAAAAATGTGCAGAACCTCAAAAAGGGCCCCACTGTGGGCATTGCTCACCACAATAGAATGTCGGTGTGCATACATGTTCAAACAAACAAAACCCTTAAAAAACAATTTGAGTGTGATTCTGTTTGTATATGTCTTGGGTGTTTTTTGTTTTTATATATATATATATATATATATATATATATATACATTAACAAGCCAATGTAATAAATTAAATTATTCCATTACATTCCCATCTAAATCATTTCTTAAATGAATAGTCATTAAGTACTAGTATCTGAGAAGTTAACATAATCTTGAGTTAAACTACTTATCCAAAATAAATCAACAGAAGAGTATATAGTCCACAAAATATTACATTATTAGCACATATAACATAAAAACGTAAGGACGTCCATGGAGAACAAAAAGAATGGACGATACCAATATCGCTTCTTTAATAATATTAATTCAGCCTAGAACCATTTTCAGGATAATATTATTAGCATTTTACCATGTAAATGTAGCTATTCAAGGGTTTTATTTACTTGAGATAAGCAATCTATTTTTTATAGTAATCAAACCAATTTATCCATATCTTATTATAGGTAACAATGTTATTTTCTTTAAAATAAGCCACCTTTTCCATTAGACCTTGATATTGGATTTGAGCTTTAATCTCTGTTAAGGAGGAAGGTTCAATCTGTCTCCACTTCCTAGTAGTGATGTCGCGAACCGTTCGCGAACTTGCCGCGAACGGTTCGCCACGGGGAACTCCGGTCAGCTGACACATCCCTGCCAATCTCCGGCAGACCCTCCCTCCCAGACCCTCCCACCTCCTGGACAGCATCCATGTTGAAGCTGCCTTCAACATGGATGCTGTCCAGGAAGTAGGAGGGTCTGGGAGGGAGGGTCTGCTGGAGATTGGCAGGGATGTGTCAGCTGACCGGAGTTCGCCGTGAACCGTTCGCGGCAAGTTCGCGAACGGTTCGCGACATCACTACTTCCTAGCGATACAAAGTTTAACGGCCATTAAAACATGGATGGTTAGATATAAAGATGGTTTAGCCATTTTTGGCAAGTCTAAATGGAATAAGAATCTTTCTGGGGACAAAGTAATATTCAATTTTAAATCAGCAAAGAGTTTAGATACTCCCAATTTGAGAGTGCCCAAGCCAATACAGTCCCACCAAATATGTTTAAGTGAGCCAGATTCGCTATTACATCTTCAACATACGTTGGTGGAATTTGTTTGAAATTTGCGTACTTTCGTGGGGACCATGTACCATCTATGAATGAGTTTAAGAAATGTTTCTTGTAAATTTATACAATGAATCGTTTTCCTTATTAATTCAAATGAATTTAACCAATCTTGACAAGAAAAGGATTTATCAAGATCGATTTCCCATTTAATGACAGTATTGAGTTTAATGTCCTGATTTAGTGTATCCAAGGCTCTTCTAATTATTGAAGGTTTATTATTGGCCTCCTCAAAGAGGACCTTGTCAAAGGGTGAGTCTCTAATTATAGATGTTTTATGAAGAAAGACACATTTTCTTAAATAAGTAAAGTAATCTTTATTCGATAATCGAAGTTTTTCCTGAAGGTACGAAAATCTACTAATCCCAGAAGTACTGTATAAATCTTGAATTTTTATCCTGTCCCCAACTAGCCACCCAGACAAGTTACGGTCTTGGATATAAAATTATAACAATTTAATGAGATAAAATATCACAGCCTGATTTCTAAACAAATTTATTGTAGTTAATGACACATTACTGTGAGTATTATTGCTGTGGAGCTCTGTTACACACTCAGACACACCAACAATATGGAGCGCATAGAAAAAAGAGTTATTACAATAGAATAGAGGGGCAGGGTGATTTGGATCCAAATACGGACTGTCCATCCTGAATAAGGACCGTTGGGAGGCATGCTTTAAAATGTAACAAAAAAAACCACAAAACTACACCAAGGTCTCTACTACAGTTTGCATTGTAGGATTGTGTTATACTTCCATCTGCACTCCTGCATCTACTATCTAAATTCACAATTAGGATAAGTCATTAAAGTGACAATTCAAGGGGAATTCAAAGTGAGTTTCAAATCTAAGGCCAGAGTAGCTAAATAGAAAGCATAGCTAACATTTATCTGATAGGCAAAAGCTTAGTGTTTAGTGAATAATTCCTTTGACGAAAGAGAGACAATTCTGCACCGAAAAAGTTAATCTTGCTCTAGTAACCAACTAACTTTATACATCCATCCAAACGGCCGGCTAGCAGATAATGACTTTGAGCGTTAAATGACCTGTGATGGAGTCTGACCAGAGGGCTAAACGTGGACAGAAATCTATACACTCAATATAAATCAATCTTCTGTTCACTGTCCTCATTCTCTCCTGTGATGGGGAACTTTTAATGAAGGCTGTAGAATGCTGAGTTTGTGCTGAGTGCATCAGCATCCAGCCATTCGATTGATCACTTAAAGTCCAGAATAAAGGACACACCTGACTGTAGGCATTGATTATATGATACAGCCTAGTGCAATCATCAAATGCTTTACAGTTTATCCTCTCTCTGGTTAACCCCTTAGGCACTGGTGGAGAGGGTGAGACATAATATTATGTTATTGTAGATCATTGTGCTATCTAAGAGGACTAAGCAGGGGAGTTATTCACTAAACAGTGAGTTGTCGTCAAATGGGAGATTATTAGATTTGAAAATACTATTAAAGCTCTATTCCTTAGTAAATGTAACATGTTAGCTCGTTACAATTTCATGTTTATTGAATATACGTGTATATATATATATATAAAAGGCATATTTTTTGTATGTTATATAAGGTGCCCCCTTTTTAAAAAAGTAGCGGGTGGAGGTGGGTGGGGAATGCTGCGCACTGACAGTAGAGGCAAAATATGCACATAATTGATATTAGGCATCCCAGAACAGTGCAACTAGCACCCAGCACACAATTAAAAATGACTCAGTGTGTGCAGTTTTTTAAGCAGAAACCCTGCACATACTGACTCCTACCACCATGACCACGTCAAATCACTGAGGTGGTCATGGTGGTTGGAGTAAACCTTTAAACTAATGGAGATCAGGTTTCATTATACAAATGGCTACTTATAAAAAAAAAGGAGTTGACCCCATGTTGGATAGAATATAAAAAGTGAGGCCTAGTCATCTCGACTAAAATATATTAGTTTCCATTTACTCATTGCAGTTCTCAAACATAAATGTGTTTTGAGTTCACTTCTCTATTAAATGTTACATTGCATTTTTTTTATAAGTCAAACCATTGTCTTTTTAAAACATAAAGTATGGAGTTTTAATGACTACTCTGTAATTTAGACTTGTGCAAAAATTTGTGTTGGATGGTTTATCTAAAACAAATTCCTTTTAAACCATATCTGGACAAACTGATCAGCTGGGATTTACCTGGGGAGTCTTATTTTTTAAATAATTGTTTGACTGTTTGCAATGGGAGGGGGCAGGCACTTCACACGGCAGTGGATATGATGCTTGGAGCATCCCTTTAAGTAAACAGCAGTTTCATATATCTAACTAACTGAGGAGCCATAAGACGGCAGCCCTCTGTTCCTTTCATTGTGGCAGACTTTAACTGCAATCACAATGAGCCAACATGACAGTAATGTGAAGACATAGGCGGATACTCTTCCTCATTCACTTACAAGGTGTAATTAATAATTTATATATTTTAATGAAGGTATTTCTCAAGTTTATTTTTACTTTATAATTGACGTGTTTTATTGTCAAAAGGGAATAACTAATCCCATACGTATTTTCTTTTTAATCTTTAAGCACAAATGAATGTATTTTACAACTATTGCAACAATACTTAGTTTCAAAGCTTTAATAATATACATCATTAGATATTAGGAAACACAATGGTGCTTATTCTTCAAAATTTGCATATCTCAAGTAAGAACTTTGGTAGTTGCTCCTGTCTTGCTGATTTATCTATGTTTGGTTTTATTTGGGTTGTTGGAAGTCACAGACATCATTCTAAGTGCTCATCGGTAAGTCAAGGTCTACCAATTAGCTTCTGGGGTAAACAGAAGTTGTGTAGTTGTTGTGGTTTTCGGAAAGGATTTGTTGAACCACAGTCATGTGATAAGCAGACCAAACAACCAGATGAAGAGCATCATACGTGGCATTCTGCAGTTTCTTCAGCACAAGCTGGAAGCTGATGGGTTTAACTGGGATATCCTTTAGGGCACTAGGTACCAGCGGGTAAAATCTTTTCTGAAAGTTTTCCATTTTGGCTGATGCTTTTTGCCAACTTCTAACTTCAAACACTCCAACTCTTGGTCCCATTTTAAGTCTTCACTGAGTGCCTCGACCCCTTAAAGGCACTCCGCACACAGACAGAGCATCGGAAGCCTGCCCAATGGCTTCCAATGCTCTGCTAGACTGCCTGACGCCACGTGGTGTAACCCAGTGGCCCGGCAGTCAGGAGAGGTATTGCAGGATGCCTCGACATCTAGGCATCGCTGCAATACCCTTAGAGTGGCTGGAAGCGATCACGATCGCTTCCAGCACTCATATTTGCCACGGACGTACTAGGTATGTCCGCGTTTTTTTTGTCGGACGTACCTAGTACATGCGCGGCCCTCCAGGGGGTAAACATCCTCTACAAAGTTTATAGTTACATTTTTGTTACCTTTTGGTGTGTGTTGCAGAGTGGAAGCTTTTAATAATTTGTATAAAATATTTTTAATATTTAATTTTTATTTAACACACACGCACCTTATCCCTTGTACCTATTTATTCAGTACACAAACCAAACATGTTCTTCGATGTGCTTTTAAGAAATATATTCCTATGAAACAGACATGTAATCTAAACGATACAAAGTATAAAACAAAGTATAGTGTAATCTTTCAGCCCTGTCTGTGAGCTTTTGGACCTTGGCATGAATTGTATTGTATACAGTGTGAGTATCCAAGGATATAGGACGCCTTCCAAGAACTTGTTACTTGTATAATAAATGAAAGAGTTAATCTTGCAGCAGTTGGCCTCAGGGATTACAGTGGAAAAAACACATACATTCCAATTTTGCATACATGTTCTTGTGGCTCTCAAATATTAATGGCCTTCTTTGTCATTAAACCAAGTGAAGGATGAGGGGTGAAAGGAAATCTATAAACTCAGGACGTTCAATCAGTATTGCTTCTCTCTGAACCAGCTAAGAAACAGGGAATAAAACACTTGTTGTATCCACGCTGCATTAAAGAAACCTTGCTTTTTTTCTACATAGACTAATTTTTCTTTCTACTTCTAAATACATTGATCAACTACAATGTTTAAAACCCAGGGACGTATTAGCCGCAAGGCAAACAAGGCATTTGCCTTGGGCGGCATTTTTCAGGGGGCGGCAAAAAAGCCGCCCCCAAATGCCCAGGGCAAATGCGTTGTTAGCCTCGTGGCTAACAGACATGCAGAGCGGGCAGCTCTTCCCCTGAGCGCTCTGCTCAGCTCCCTCGCGCGCCGCCGAGTTAGGCTGGGAGCTGGAATATGACGTCATCAACCCGGCTCCCAGCCTCACTCTGCTGGCGATGCGCGAGGGAACTGAGCAGAGCGCTCAGGGGAAGAGCTCCCTCGGCGGCCGGCCGGCCGCCCGCCCTGCAGCCACTGGACCCCAGGACCCCAGGGAGAGGAAGAACCCCCCCCAGCATTCCCAAAGGTAAGGAGGCTGGGGTGGTAAAATAAATAAAAAAAACACAAGTAAGTGTGTTAGTGTGTGTCTGTTAGTGTGTGTGTGTGTGTCTGTTAGTGTGTGTGTCTGTTAGTGTGTGTGTGTGTGTCTGTTAGTGTGTGTATGTTAGTGTTAGTGTGTGTGTCTGTTAGTGTGTGTGTATGTTAGTGTGTGTCTGTTAGTGTGTGTGTATGTTAGTGTTAGTGTGTGTCTGTTAGTGTGTGTGT